AGGGAAAAGGAGAAATTTTGAGAACAAATTTTGGATGAGAAGGGCATTTTAGCTTATACTTATGAGTCATTATCTATAAAAAGTTTCACAGGTACAGGTTGAGCATTCCTTATCTGAAATGCCTGGGACCAAAAGTGTTTCAGATTTTGGAATATTTACATAGATTTTACTGAGTGAACATCCCTATCCTGAAAATCCAAAGTAAAAAATACTCCAAAATCCAAAACGTTTTGAGCATTATATTAACATTCCAGAAGTTTCAGACTAAAGATTTCAGATTAGGGATGCTCAAGGTATACCTATAATTCAGCCTTCTCCAGGCAATAGCTTTGTAGTAAACTTAGGCTTGTCCAAGTACAAATAAAGTTCACAAAGCTTGATAAATTAACAAAAATCTCTCTTCCTAAAGCCAAGCAGATAATTTTGGTATCTAGAAATTAAGGAAGAAATGTCTAGATGTGAAATACGATTTGCCATGCTCCATCACCCATTACAACATCTATTTCAATCAAAGACTGTCACTAAGGACCTCCTCTTAATTCCCTACTTGCATTCTCAGACTCAAGACAAAAAAAAATGAACAAGTAAAAGTTTTTCTTAGGCTATCGACAAGCAAAACCTTACCTATTTATTAGCTACACACCCTCCTACTATACCTGCTGCCAATAAAATGTTTGGAGCTAGTAAAAATTGCCATCAAATAAAAGTAGGAACTTGTTTCACTGGCTTTTCTCTGCAGGTTAAACTATGGCCATAGAAAACCATGCTCTGCATTGATTCAAATCTTTAAACTGTCTCATGGATATTATTCCTACATAATATACAGGTTATGTTACAATTTGAATTGCATTGGAAAAATAGCCAACAAGGTTATTTCTCAGAAGCTTTTAGCAAACAATCCTACATAATATACAGGTTATGTTACAATTTGAATTGCATTGGAAAAATAGCCAACAAGGTTACTCCTCAGAAGCTTCTAGCAAACAATTCTTATTCTTACAATTAGAACAATTTTTAATTGGACAATTTGAGAGCATAAACACCAATTCTATTGTTGGTAAGTTTGGCAAGTTTGTGTGAGTTCTTTATTAATTTAGGATATATTCCATATCCTTTCTCATTCACATTTTTAGAAAAATTACTTATTAGTCACTTACCTACCCAATACATATAAAACTCATCCTATAACCAAATAAATATTTGATTTGCAAAAGATCAGATCATACATTTTCAAAATGTTGCTTGTGTGCTTATGCCTTATGTTTCATAGTACAGCAATACCCCCTTCACAACGACTAGTGATCATGTTACCAATTTCTGTCCAGGTATCTGAATGAGGGTTGTAAACTTCAACTGAGTCCAAGGTACCTGGGGCTAAGAAATCATGGCTGGAAGAACGGCCTCCAGAAACATACAGAAGACCATTGACTGCTACAACACACATGCCTGCTCTAGGCACTTTCATTGAGGCAACTTCAACCCACTTTTCCTGGTTAAAAGAGAAAAATATAAATGTTAGTAGTGTCAGAAAATGGTAATGAGAACATCTCTAAAAAGTCAGATATTCTGGGCTGGGGTTGTAGCTCGGTGGTAGAGAGCTTGCCTAGCATGTGTGAAGCACTGGGTTCAATTCTCAGCACTACATAAAAATAAATAAATAAAACAATATTGATAACTAAAACAATATTAAAAATAAGTCAGATATTCTGGTTCTTTT